CGGGGGAGGCCGGGCCGGGCCGGGCCGGGCCGGGGGAGCGGCGGGTGCCGGGTGGCTCCGCTGACCCCCCGGTGTCCCGCAGGCTGGAGGGAGGCGGTGGCGGCCGCGGCCGGCGCGCTGCAGGCGGGCGGGCTGGTGGCGGTGCCCACGGACACGGTGTACGGCGTGGCCTGCCTGGCCCAGGACTCGGCCGCCGTGCGCAGCATCTACAGCCTGAAGGGGCGGAACGGCGCGAAGCCGCTCGCCATCTGCCTCGGGGACGTGGAGCGGCTCTACAGGTGCGCGGGGCCCGCGGGTTCCGGAGCCCCCGGTCGGTGCCGAGCCCCGTGCGCGGGGCGGGGCTGCCCCGAGAGCCCGGGGGGGAGCGGCCGCCTCTGCCCGCGGAGCGCCGGGGAAGGGAGGGAAGGGCCGAGCCGGAGCTGCCCCGGCCCCCGTTTGCTCCCTGACCCCGCTGCCCCTGACCCGCAGGTACTGCCACGTGAACGTGCCGGACGAGCTGCTGCGGGACCTGCTCCCGGGACCCGTGACGCTGGTCCTGCAGCGTTCAGAAGAACTGAATAAAGACTTGAATCCTTTCACATCAGTAGGTCTTGGCTACAGGATGGATCTCGCGGCTTGGGGGGCAGTGGGCTGGTTTTGTTCTACCTGCTTGAACTGCTGTTCTGTTTGTCCTTACCCATCCCCAAACCTGGCCCCTGTGCTGGTCCCGCTCCCCAGGACTGACGTAGACACGGCATAACTCAGCGTTAGGGCCTAACTTAGGTCTTGTGTTATTGCTGGTTCAGCAGGTGTAAAAGTATCAATTCTCTAGAGCATCAGCTTTAAGCCAAGCGAAATTAAAACCAGTTTCTGTGTGTAAAACCCTTGTCTCCTTCCCTGCAGCTGGTTGGTGTTCGTATTCCAGACCACTCCTTCATGAGGGACCTGGCACGTGCCTGCTCGGGACCACTGGCTTTGACAAGCGCCAACATCAGCTCCCAGGGCAGCACCCTGACGGTGTCGGTGAGGCTCCTCTGCCCCTCAGGGACGTCCCTGGGGCACTTTGGCAGAGCCCCAGGCTCTCTCACAGTTGAACTCGGCTTTAGCAATAAACCAAGGGTTGATCTGTTGCTATATATTTTTTTTAAATGATATTCACAAAGCACTGTCAGGACTGTTACCCACAGCTCTCTTGCAGGAATTCCAGGACCTGTGGCCTCAGTTGTCCTTGGTCATCGATGGAGGCCCCATAGGAGACATCTGGAGCTCAGAGTGTCGCTTGGGGTCCACTGTGGTTGACTTATCTGTGTCAGGGAAGTTCTCCATCATCCGTCCTGGCTGGTGAGCACTGCTGGGCCTTTTTCTGTGCTTCAAATGAGATGAAGCTTTTGGGTGAGGGTGGGTCGTGCTTTACTTTGTTTCCCACAGCAGTTCTACCTTCCTGTTAATGTTGTTTAACCTAATTACCAGCACACTCAGAAATCCTAAAGAGCTCTCCAAATTCCCCTTTCTCAAAGCTTCTGTGTGAAACTCTAGTAGTTTCTGGAGTTCATGTTCTGTTTGATTCTAAGTGCAGTCCTGTGTCTCACTGATCTTCCCCAGAAATGCAGTTTAATCCTCCAAACCTTTTGTTTTGACAGTTCTGATTCTCCCCACAGTGCACTGACACCCACAGTTGAAATCCTGAGGCAGAAGTATGGCTTGGTACCGGAATCTTCCTAACCCTTGGGCCTGGGAGCAGATGGAGCTGGGCACCGTGTGCCTGTGCACTCAGAAGTGGGTGTTTGTGGCCTTGTTTAATAAGGTCGATGGGTTATGTCAAGGTAAATAAACAAAAGATTTAAAAAAAATAATTAAAAAGTCCTTTTGAGCTCTTTGTGCTGCTGTACCATCCCAAATGTCTGTTCTGTTATCCTGGTTAGGCCTTGTGAATACAGTGATTGGAATGTTGGACTGATGGGGTGGGGGAGCCCCTGTCTGACACAGGTTCAGGCTCGTGGCTCTGGAGTGGCCGAGCCGTGGGCACGGGCTGAGCTGTGCAGCTGAGGGGGCTCCAGAAGCAGATGCTGCTTCTCCCCTGGGGACTGAAGTGTATGGATGGAGCTGGTGCCCTCAGCCAGGAAGGACTCCTTTCCCACAGCGTGGTGGGGGTGATGGTCCCCCAGATGAGGCACAGCCCTGAGGCAGAGCAGCCTTGCCTGAACGGGGCTGGCTCTGGGCTCTGCTCCAGGGTGCCTGAACCAGCATCTCTGCCACAACTCGGTGTGACCTTTGCGAGCAGCCTTGGTGGGCAGAAAACTGGGGAAACACGTCAGCATCTGGGCTGGTGCCTGTGCTCCCGGCTCAGTCCCTGCTGCTCGTGTTCAGTGTCCCTGCAAGTGACAGCTTTATTTGTGCCGCCAGCAGCAAGAGGATGAGCTGCACATCAGGCGTGGGTGAGTGGGCTGGTGCCCCCATTCCCCTGCAGCAACTGCAGGCACTATAAATTTCCTCTTTCCTCTGCCTTCTGGCTGCAGGACATTGTGCTGTCAGTGTGACATGCTTGGCACCGGCTGAAGGGACCAGCTTGTGTGGCAGTGTCAGGGTATGGCAGCACCTCTGGAATGTGCCAGCATGGAGCAAACCTGGGCTTTGTTGTTTATTCAGGTGTTCTTGGTGCTTCCCAGCCTGCTGCTACACCCAGTGACTGTGAGGATGTGCCAGGAGCCACAGGGCACGTGGTGGTGCTGAGTCACTGGGACACAGCAAGCTGTCTGCAGGGACACAGGGACACACGTCCCTGCTGGGACATGGGGATCTGGCACAGCTTCTGCTGGAGTGGAGAGGTGGCTTTGGAGATCTGGAAGGTGGAACTACAAACACCTTCATAAACAAATTCACAGACCAGGGTGACCCTTGTGTTTGCAACCCGTGTGGAAATCACATTGGCATGAGCACTCAGAGCAGGAGATACATGGCTTGCATTTTAATTAGCACTTGGCTTCCAGATAAAAAGGCATCTCTAGAACCTCATTAGCAGAGCCCATTCACATCCATGGAGTGATGGTTCAAACAAACAACACCAGCCCAGTGCCTGGGCCAGGGCTGGTACCAGAGGTGAAGCTGCTCAGTGTCTGACCCTTTCCAACCCCATTGAAGCCATGGGGATTCTGCTGCCTGAGGAGTCCAAGAGCCCCAGCCAGGGACAGGTTTTCCTCCATCACTGCAAACAGAGATCTGTGATTCCAATGCTACTGCCCTCGTTCTGCTTCCCAATACAACAAAAACCAGACTTGGGCTAATTAAGCTGGAAACACAACATTGCAATTTGCAGCTGATTAAATCTTTCAAACAATATTTATGTTAATCTCCTGAATTATTTTCTTGTAATGCCTTGACTAGGAGATACTCCACTGTGTGGGGAGATGGAGCCCAGCCCGCCCTGCCAGATGCTGGGAGCTCAGAGTGAGGGTTTTCACTCACTGTGGTCACAGCCAGGAGAGAGGATCTTTGTCTGGGCCAGGTTGTACTCAGAGTGGGATGCTGAGCTGCAGTTCTTGGTTTTGCTGCAGTTCTTGGTTTTGCTGCAGGAGTGAATCTGTGGCAGGAGAGGACTGTGAAACACCACGTAGGAAGGCACATCCTCAGACAGCTCTTGGCTGGGGTGGTTCTGTCTCTGCTGCACCTCCCCACCAGGGCTTTGCTGTCACACAAGGAGGCTGTTGTGAAATGCTCCTTTGCATTTATCCCTGGAAATTATAGAGACCTAATGCAAACCCCCATTTTCCTTCTGCATGCTGTGCATGCATACCCACTTACACTGTCCTCCAGCCCTTCTTCCAGCTCCAGAGTTGGCAGAATGCCTGGCAAATTTCCACAGGATGCTGATTTAAGGAATTAGTCTGTAGAAGTGTAGATGGTAGAGACAGAAGGGACCTTGAGGCCATCTGGAGAGTCTGCTTCCCCAGACAGCATCCCCTCTCCCATGTCACCCCAGGCACATTTGTCAGATCTGCTCACAGCTCCCTTTTCTGGAGGAAATTCTGCCTGGCTGCTCTTTATCCCATTTTCGAGTTCCTTAAAAATATATTTATTTGGACTCGAATATTTCAGGAGTTTAAAGGCAACATGGTCTGTGTACACCCACGCCTTCTCTGTTTATTCCCTTTTTCAGAAAGCCTGGGGTTTACCCTCCCTGACCTTGACACCTTGGGGGTGGCTTCAGGGAGTCCCTGGGGAGGGGACTCTGGGCAGTGCTTGCAATGAAACTATTAATTTTTATTGATGAACCTGCTCTCCCTGGGGTCTGGGTTGATGCTCCCCATTAACTCTGCCCACAGTGGCTGGGAGTGTCCTGGCTGCAGTTCTGTCAGGTGTAAGTTCTTCATTACTCCATGAAGCGAATTGTCATCAGCCACAGCTTGTTTGGATGAGATTTCTGGGGAACCAGGAGCTCCCCAGCCTGTGGGAGCTGCCTGCCTGATGTGAGCAGAGGAGAATTTTCAGGCTTTTTTCCTTGGTGTGTAGTCATATCTCTAAACACCCTTCAGATGCTGACAGGCTTCCTGAAGTGTCCAGGTGTCTGAAGGCAAAAGAAATGGTAAGTCCACAGGGATTTGGGGTTTTAATCATGAAATATTACCTTTTAAAACCTACAGTGTGAGCAGGACAGTTGGCTTCATTATTCTGAGCGTGTTTGGCCAAAATCCTGTGCCTGTCACCAGCTGACCATTCCCTGCTGTGTGGCTGCAGTTATGGGGAGACAGGTGGTGGAGCAGTGACAGAGGTGGGACAGGGATCGCTGGCAGGGCAGGAACCACCACGCCTGGCTGGCCTGGGAGCCCCAGGGGCACTGTCGAGGTGCTGCTGGTGTTGGGACAGGCTGGTCCTGCAGCCAGCTGGGAGTGCTGGGCAGCTCAGCCCAGGTGAGCGTTTGATGCAGGGGCTGTGTTTGCTCTACTTGTGCCCTCCATGGTTAACACTCTGCAAGTAACTTCTTGGCAATGACTCCAATTAGGCCAGCACATCTCCCCGTAATCTTGATCCCTGTTGTGCTGTCAGGCTCAATTCAAATTTAATTTGTTGAAAGTGTATATCGGGCAGCTTTTTTCCTTAGCACAAAACTGAGGGGAAGGTACCAGTGATGGAAAAAATAATACAAGTTCATATTCTTCTTACCTTAAGGAAGGAAAAGAGGTGCCAGAAAACTTGGCCAAATTTACATTTTAATGGGAAATGTTCTGACTGCCTGCTCCAGGAGACATAAATTGCTTTCTGGATGGGACCCTGACTTTACACCAAAGTGCAGGGAATTAAATCCAGCGGCCCCTGATGAGATGAAAGGGATATCTGTGGATCGACAGCCCCTTGCTGCCAGCCAGTGGTGAGGACTGGCCAGGTGCAGGTGGCAGGGCCAGGCCGTTGTCCCCATCCCGCTGGGGACACAGGCTGGGGGCTGCTGGGGCTGGTGGCCCCTGGCTCCAGGGCTGGGGGGGTCATGCTGGGGGCTGGAGGGCTGTTTGCAGAGCAAACCCATGTGTTTCAAACCCTGAAGAAACCCTGCCCCTGCCAAAGCACCCCAGCCCATTCTGGGGGTGCTGATAGAGGGAGGACTGGCTCAGAGGGGTCTGTCCTCGCTCCTGTGTTGTGAGGTGGCATCTCAGCAGCAGTGGCTACACTGGCACAAGCATCACCTGCTGGCAGCTGCCCCTCGGGCAGGAGCCCCATGTTCGGGGCAGCTCTCTGGGGTGTCTCTGCCCTCTTGTCTGATTGTTCCTCATGGGAGCAGCTCTTGCTCACAGACAGGCTCCAGCAGAGCCTCTGCAGTGCCAGCCTCATGTCTCAGACCTCCACGCAGCCAAAAGCTGTGCCCAGGAGAAGCTGCTGTTAATTTCTTTACATCTTAAAGCTCTTTGAAGATGAAAACACGGTGCAGTGCTGCATAGTCTTATCCTTGGTAAAGCTTGTCACCTGCAGCTGTTTCTGGCACATTCACAAGCACAGCAAAGGCTTGTCCCTGCTGGGACTGAGTTCCTGGAGTGTGTCCTCTCCCCATACGGTGCTTTGCCAGGTGCTTTGCCAGTTGTCAGAGCAGTTGTGTGCAGTGGATGGGATGTAAATTCAGTGTCGTATGGCAAAGGCATCACTCAGACAAGGAGACAACATGCTTATTGGGGATGCTTCCAATCCAATAAAATAAGCAAAACCATCCCTGTTAGAGGCTCAATCAGAGCAGATGTGCTGGCACTCATGAGGCTGCTTCCCTGGGGGAAACACTGTCACTGTCTGGAAAGCAAAGCAGTGATAAATCGTAGGTGACCTTCAGTAATTTGTTGCTGTCTTGTGCAAAACACTGCTGCTCCTCCGGGCCAGTCCTGGGCGTCTGCCTGGGATCACAGGAATTCCGATCTTTACCATCTTAATGGGTTTGTTGTGGGTTCGATAATGACAAAAGGCTGGGGGTGCAGGGGAACACAGGCTGGGGATAAGGGGAACACGGACAGGCTGGGGGTGCAAGGGAGCACTGACGTGGAGCTGCTGGAAGCAGAGCAGAGCCAGCACCAGCAGGAGGTTCCTCCAGCCTTGTGGGAAGAGCTGTTCTGGCTGCTGAGTGTGCAGGGCCGTGCAGGATGTGCTGGAGAAGCATGTGCAGGGTGGTGAGGGGCTGCACAGTGCCCTGGTGTGGCAGTTTTGGGCGGTGGAGCAGCCGCAGGGGGACACAGGCGGGTCCCGAGCTGGGATGGGGTCACTCAGGAAGGGTCTGTGAGCCCGGCACTGGAGCCATCCCAGACCCACTGGGCTCTGCAGGTGCAGGGCTCTCTGCCAGCACCAGGCCTGTGCTCTGATGGGCAAATTACCTGTGGAAT